GGTAAATTTTACAAGACAAAGGATCTCTCTGACACCAATTAGCACAGTGCAATGCNCCCTTATAAAATTTATCTATCTAAGAATGGTCAAATGATCAAGAAAGGGTAAATTTTTACAAGACAAAGGATCTCTCTGACACCAATCAGCGCAGTGCTATGCTTCATGGGCGATGCAAACGATCCCCTTGTAAAAATTATCTATCTAAGAATGGTCAAGTAATCCAAATTGACCAAAAGGGAAAGATTACGTCTCCATGCTATATTTGGTAAGCAATGGGCCAAGCTACGTAATATAAGATTGTTTATAAACTATTGGGAGATTAAAGGAGAATAATATTGAATAAATGGATTATCTTATAAAGTAAAGCATAAAAAAAGAGAAGAATATGAATTATAAAATTAAGAAAATAAAGAAAAGTAAGAAGAATTGATAATAATGTGGATAATATATAAAAGAGAATTGATAAAGAGATAGATAATAATAAATTTTTAAAATAGTGAAATATATTAGAGATAGAAGGAAGAGAAGGGAGAAGTTTAAGAATCAAAGTAGTTAAGAATTTCAATGAAATAAGAATTAGAACAATGATGTTGTTGAGGAAATTGGTATTTATGAGAATAATAATAAAAAGAATGTAAAAAAGTAATGGTAGATATTGAAGTAATGATAGATGGTGGCCTAAGGTTTCAGGATTATTATAACATTTGTTGACTGGAATTTCATTGAAAATAGTGGTGATAATATTTGGACAAAGTTGATAAGACATTTTGTAAATTTTGATATTTGAAAGAAATCTTGGTATTTGAAAAATAATATTTGAAATAAATTTTGGATTTGGTGCAGTTGATATTGATATTTGAAAATTTGATTTTTTCCTTGAGGAAATTTAAGGGTATATATACTTGTAAAAAATTTTTTGTATTACATAAGACACTAATTATAAAATAGATTATCAGTAACTTGTTATGATTCAAAAATAAAGATCATGTATGAGTCATATTTTGCTACAATAATAATAATATATAATTGTGGCTTATAATATAGTCAATAAGAAGCACTGATATATTCACTTATACATACTGTATATCATTTGTCTAAAAAAATTTTTCAGAAAAATTATCATTTATCAGAGTTTTTTCCAGAATTTTTTTATAGGGATCTATTTCAACAGAAATTATAGACAATTTATTGATTTTATAAAAACTATTATCTTCAGTTTTAAAATTACCTTTATCAGCAGGAACTTTAATATATGAAGTACTTTGTAAACTTTATATGATGTAAATTTACAGTAAAATTAAAATTAGGGAGTACTTACTTAGTATTATGTATAATAATATTTAGTTATTGTATTGTAGATAGAAAAATACTTATGAGTAATATTTATAAAGATGAGTCACATTTGTCATATCAATTGATTCATAAGCTAATTGATCTAAAACTAGTACTGATAAATGACTGTACATTATTTATATCAGAAAAATACATTTATTAAAGTAATATTAAAATTATTTTATCTAGAATATAAATTATTATTGCTTGTATAAATTCGATTATAAAATTATAGATTCAATATTTTGCAAATACCCATAAAAATAAAACACTGAATATAAAAAAAAGAGTATAATTTTGTGAGGGAAATTGAACATTTTTCGTTAATTAAAAAATTTTACAAAAAAAAAAGATGAGATTTGTAATCACGATTATCTTTGGAAATTGTATAACAGATACCGATTTTTTTGTAAAACTAGATTAGGTTGATGAGCGGTGACTTCATCGCCATCAGACTGGCTGAGATTTATGTTATTAGGTTTTATTATTTTAATATGAGTATTTTGTTTATTATATAAATAAATTTAAATTTTCCGATGAAATTTGAGGAGATAATATTTGTGGTAATTGTTATTTGTGAATAAGAGTTGTTTAGTTAGTTGGATTGGTTATAGAAAATGCCATTTACCTCGATGGACGTAATAATTAATTGAAATTTTAATGGTGCATTAAGGAGAATAATACTGTTTCTATTCAAAATATGAAAACATTTACGTGATACCAATTTATTTATCCATTTGGCCAAGTGCAAAGTTGGTTAATTCCGTATTAAACTGTACATTTCCAATGAAAGTAGAAAAAGTATGTTTGATCACGCAATCACTGGGCAATTGGAATCACAGCCTTCAGAAAATTTGTAAATGTTAATGCTTTAACCTTTTCTAGATAATTAAACTTGTTCCGGAACACCGGAAGATCTTTTCATGTATTCCACCTTCATTTCATTTAAAAGTACAAGCACTTGTCAACACTAACTAAAAAATATGAAATTAATAAAATTAATTGCAATTAAATTAAAAAGAGATAAATTATAACTAACCACAATTGTTTCAATAATATCTATTTTAATAAAAGAAAATTTCCAAGCATACGTGCAATATCATTTTCATTAAAGGATGTCACTATTTGAATGTAATCCTTTACATGTATTATTAAATACTTTCTACTTAAACTTCTCATAATGATGTGGTCCATTTTTTTATTAAAGTGCACAAATCACGTGATGTGAAGTGGCGTAACAAAAAGTTCCTTCACAAAGTTTTTCTTTTACTTACAAAAAACATATACAGAAATTTTTATTAAAAGTACCAATCAGATCAAAATTTTATTATTTATCTTGAAATTTTCTTTTATTGTTTTTTTTTTTTCAAAATGAGAATTATCTATTACAATTATTTTTATTAGTAACTGTGTTTAATTATTAAATAAAAAAAAAACTTTGAATTTTTTGATGAAAAGCCAACAACTTTGATTTTATGAAATTCAGATCAAAAAATGGAAGGTGATTTCCATTTTCAATTTTTTTAAATTTTTTTTTATTCTCACGAAAAAAGAAAAAAAATTCAAATCAAAAAAGGAGGGTGATTTTCTTTTCATTTTGAAATTTTTTTTTTTTTTGAATTTTTCAATTTTCAACAAAAAGAGAAAAAATTTAGACCAAAAATCCAAAAATGGAAGTTTATTTCCATTGTCTTTTTGGAAATTTTTTTTTTGAATTTTTCATCATTACGAAAAGAGAAAAAATCTAGATCAAAAATGGAAGGTGATTTTCATTTTCATTTAAAGAAATTTTTTGATTAACTTCATCATTACGAAAAGGAGAAAAATTTAGATCAAAAATGGAAAGTGACTATGAAAAAAAAATTTAAAAAACATTAGCTTCACCCATATTAACAATATACTGTATAAAATTATCCCTGATTTTTTTCAGATTGACTAGCAGTAACCCGTTGCTTCGCACCGGGATTAGTAGGTTGCTTTAAATTAATGTATAGTAGTAATGAATAATGAAAAGGAAATTCTGATTTATGTTTAGAAATTTTAAGTATTATTCTTGTTCATAATTAGAAATTTAAAGGAGTGTAAATAAATAAAAATGTAAAATATTAAAAACATTACTAACAATTGAATTTTAAAACATCATACAATACAAAATATATAGTAAATTATACTTACAATATTAAATACTTTGAAAGATTTCATTATATACAATCTTTTAATTTAGTCTGAAAGTGATGCACATGCTAAAAAGTTGTTATAACCTCTTATATTTTTGTGAAATGAATTTGCATCAGAACTTGATGAAATATACAAATTTAGTAAATATGATGGTGGTTTAAGTAAAGGTGGTAAACCGATGTTGCCACCAGTACAGCATACAGCAAAAGATGGAGAGGTTTTGCAACTATCATGATCTTTTTCTTCTATTCAAAACTTGGCATCACAATGGATACAGATCTGATCCATTCTACCAAGTTCATGACGCTTTATGCAAATGATATTTTGTCTGGTTTTTTGTCTTTTTCTGTAATTGGCGGCTTGACGTTCATTATTTAATCTTCTTTTTCCGTTGTTTAGGTGTTTCACTTTAAAAAGTTCTCTGAAAAGAAGCTATATTAATTTCAGTATATATAAGTAGATGTATTATATTGATGGAAATTTGATGCAAATCTTATTATTACACGAAGGTTGTGTTGCAGTATTGTAGAATTTATGATTTATTTATGTGTTTACAAATGCATTACAAAGGCAATTTTAAATATTTTATTGATATAAAAATAAAAATATCATCATAGCGTTTTATTGTTAAAAAATTCGCAAAAAAAAACACCCGTTATAGAGATCTATCATTATTGCTAAAGATAGATAGTTAATTGCCTATCGCTTAGGCCGGGCAAAAAAAAAATTTAGATTCTCGTGACCCGGCCGGGTCAGTTTTTCGAAAAATGGGAAATTTTTTTTTTATAGTAAAAAATTTTATAACGTGATTATAAGTTATTGGCCAATGTGGCGTAAAAAAATTTTACATATAAAAAAATTTTACAAATATAAAAAAAAAATGCCGGCCGGCCGGGTCATTTTTAAAATTTTATGTCCCGAGAATCTAAAAATTTTTTTTGCCCGGCCTTATCAGTATTAGAGAAACGCCAGTTACCGATCTATTACAAAAATTTATTTATTATATAGATTATTCCTAAAATGATTTATCTATTATATAGATTATATTGATCTATTGTTATTCCTATAAAAAGTTAATTACCTATCACTTATAAATATTAGTCTCTTGCACATTAGTAATTAGAATGAATTTGCCGATCAAGTGGTCTTAACCATTAAGCATAGATCAGGCGCGAACACATTAATAGATCATATTAAATGTTATACAACATTAGTAATTAACATTGCATGTATCGGACTATAAGAAAACATAATAGTTCAGGTGCAGAGGAACAGATGAATAACATACAATTCACACAAACACCATTTTCTTTAATTATATACTAGATTTCAAAAACTAATCTATAAAAATACTAAAAATACGCCCAATTTTACAATTCAAAGTATGATTGTCAAAAAATTTAATGCATTTCAGGATACCATCAATTTGTTAAAAAATACGCATAACTGCATTTAAAGGCAGTGGAATTTATTGATTTATTTTCCAAAATCCAAAACGACTATGATTGTGACAGTTAGAGATTTACAAGAAGACTCCAAGGAAAATGTTATTAGACTACAGACGGATGCTAAAAGCGAGTTTGAAAAACAGGTTTTATAGCATCGATTGAACTTTGGCATAATTTTACATCCTTTCTTTATCAATGTATGATATATTTCAGGTAGATGAAACCAAGCAAAAGATAGCGAATTTGGATGAGGATGCTATTGACGAGTTTGTACGAAATAAATTCAAAACACTCAACAATATGTTCCTTGAAAGATCCAATCAATTGGAGAAATATGTTCTCAGCAAGAAACCCAAGAAGCCAGAGAAAAACCCTAATGAAACGAACGAGGAATACGAAAATAAATATAAAGGTAAAGTTCCTCGTTGTTGAAAACGAAATATTTGTGTGACTATTAACAATCATTTTCATTAAGAATATATGGCGGCTTATGGACTGTACCGAGAATTTATTACCTTGAGCATGTCCGTAATTAATAAGCTTATGAACTGGCTTGACGAACTATTTAATGAGATCATCCAATTCTTTAAGAACTTGTGGATATTGATTAAAGCTAAAGCTCAGGATATTGCCACGAAGTAACTAATTGTTTCTATACATAGCTTTATCCTTTTCTATCTATCAACTTAATGTAATATGTTATCTTCATTTCTTATTAGTGTACAGAACTTTGTTGCGAAAATTGCGGAAAAGTTTAATCAATTATGCAACTATCTTTTTGGATAAAAATGGAGTGTTAGACTTTTGCGTTATGTATGCTGTTCATTAATAATATAACAATATTTAGAGTAAATAATCATGTTAAAATAAAGATTTTGAGACAACGAAAAAAATCTTTGTTAAATTGATTAGTAATATTTGATTTTATGCAAACATAATTAGTAGTATTATTTCGTAAAAACAAATTGGTGAAACATGTTATTAATCGATATAACATTTCCAAGGCTGTTATTTTTAAAGCGTGTAATAGTAGTCGTGATGAAAACGAGCCTATTCTACGTTCCGAAATTCAATAGCTTGTTATTAGTCCGAAGGACTATATTATTCGTATCGGTTTCACAAATGTCCTGTTGTCGTCCGGCACGTGATGATGTACAATGATAACTGCGCTTCGGACTTTATAACGGTTTCCGTTTCCTAGTCTTAGGAATGACAGTCTTCTATAATTCAAAAAGATAGTAACTATTTGAGTGTAGAATCTTGACCGCGTATTCGAAATAAACAGATAATCTCGTACCCTGAAGACACAAAAAATTACAAATGTATGTTTGATGGTATTCTTCCGCAGATTTAGTATAATTTACTTATGTGTCAAAACAATATAACGTTCCATCGCAACAACTTAATATTGTACACATCAGGTACTGTACGTAATATAATTTTAATTTACATAATAGCTTAAAACACATTTGGAATTTGTACAACTTAGATGGTGAATTTTTAGCATTTTATGGTATAACAAGAGATCCAGAATTTATAATGATTATGGAATTTGCAGAAAAAGGAAATTTGAAATCTGTACTTTCAAATAATTTTAATGACACTTTATGGAAAGATAAAATTTTTTATCCCATCGGTATTATGTATACACTGATGGATTTTTTTGTAAATTATTCCACCGGTATGAAAAAAGTATAAAAAAGTATAAAATCCATCGGTGTATACGCCATACACAATGAGATAACAAGTATTTATTGCACCAGAAGTTTTAAATAAAGACCCATATACATTAGCATCTGACATTTATAGTTTCGGTGTAATGATGACTGAATTGTCATCCGGAAAACCTCCTTTTATATGAGAAAACATTAGCATTGGAAATATGTAATGGACTTAGACCAGAATTCGGAAAAGGAACTCCAGAAATTTATAAGGAATTGGCTTATAGATGTATGAATACTAATTCAAGTCAAAGACCAACAGCTAGTGAATTATTTGTTATTATAGATTTATAGAATATTGGAATAATTGTATTAAAAGGGAAAGTTATCAAAAAGAAGAAAATTTTGGTAATAGAGAAAAATAAGTTAGAACCATGTTTGAAGAAGCTGATAAAGAAATACCAAATATTTCAACTTTATATGAGAAAGATCCTGATGCTATATATACTAGTAGAGTTTTTGCATTTAACGATTTACAAAAACTCATTAATTCGCTAATGAAGAAGGTATTGAAGTATTGTATTTGAAATTTATAATTAAATAATAATCCTATAAGCACTAATTTTGTTACTTTATCAATAGACTGTCAAGATTCTCAATTACATGGCTTAGAAGTCACCAGGTCGTTAGGTAAATATAATTTCCCATGTTATATTTGCAACATTTATTCTTAAAATATAATAATTTATATCTTATTTAATAGATATCGACGATGAAAATGTTGCTGACTGCTAAGTAAATTAAATATTTCAATATTTCATAATTTTTTATATATACTGTAGGTTTATCTTTTTATTTTACGTTAATGTTAACTGGTTAATTAAAATATTTATAAGAAAGAAATATGCATTTTTAATTGTTTACAAAAAAATGATTATAATGCCATTTCGATTTAGTCAAAAATTACGTTAAAATAAAATAGTGTAGAAGAATTAAAAATTCTTTAAACACAAATATTTTATTAAAAATTTTATTGGAATTTTGTATTAATAAAAGTAAATTAATTTCTCCTTTAAAGAAGTTTATCAAAAAAAAAGCTATATAATGTATTTTGATGAAATCAACTGCCTGAAAATCCTTTTTGATATTATATTTCACTTGGTAAATAAAGCTATGAGCAGTTCTTTCTATATTGATATTAAATTTGTTAAATTAAATGATCGTTAAAAAACTCTTTATAGGTATAATTCACGTTGTTATTATTGTTGGTACTTTATATGATCATTGAAATACCGACGTTACTTATAGTAGAGATATAATTTATTTTTTATTTACTACAAAAAAAATGAGATATAATTTATTTTTTATTTACTACAAAAAAAATGAGATACAATTTATTTTTGTATATAAATATTAAACACACTGCTACACGAACACAGAAAAATTATCCAAGTTGATACGAATTTTATAAAAAAAATATCATTTAAATAATACATTTATATAAGATGATAGAAAAGTTACAATTTCTCCCTAATCAAGATTTATTTCAATTTTCAATTTAATACTTTCTTTTCCATTTACTACACTATTTTCCTTCAACTTAACAACCAACATTCCATTCTTCTCCTCATATTTTATATTCTCTTTCGCTATCTCGTCATCATATAATAAAGCTTTAATATCACAAATATTCTTTTTATCACAACGTAAATAAAATCCACATTCTCCATATCCAATCAATTCGACATTATATATAACTTTATTATTACTAATTTTATTTAATTCATTTGATAATATGGCTTTACTTCCATTATATTTATCGATTAATCCAATACAAGTTACTTTGAGACAATAATCGTCGATATTTAACGTATCCACAGGTACAAATAAGATGATTTCAAAAGATTGCTTTTTAATCATAACACTAATATTATCTTGTTTAAAAGGCACCAATTCCTTGTTCTTCATAAAATACATCACTAATTCCTTATTTATATCCCAACTTTCTTTATAAAACCTAAAACTATCATTAATGTTGACGTGATCAATTAAATTTTTGTCCCTACAATTCCATAATCCAAGTATATTAATTCTTCCATTCTGATTCGTAAATTTTAATAATTTATCGACTTTTGTTAAGTCTACAAATAAATCATCGACATTTCCAGCTGGAATTGCTGATTTTTCGCATCTCAATAATTGCATCGTATTTTTTGGCGTTTTAATTAAACATCTCTCTAATATATCCTTATCATGATGATTTGGAATATCAGTAAAATACATCGGACTACCACTGATTGCTCTAGCAGCTGCATGATATTCCCCGTACTTGTGATACGATTGACACATATCCCAATCAGGAATACTATATAAATGACTTGTAAATAAATTGTTCATGGCATTTGTATAAATATGCCATGTATGCGATTCTTCTATATCAGGAAAATAATCATCACTATTTCTATAAAGTGGTATATGTTCCCCATTTAAAACTTGTTTATCTAAAAGAGTATTTTGTAAAATTGAAGGACTATTAGCCATACAATAGATAAGTTTTTGATTAAAATATTTATTAATGCTGTCTCGCAACGCTTTTTGATAATCAATCCACCACCATTTATATTCACCACTTACTACATCATCAAAACACGCCTGAAAATCAACTTTAACCATATCAATTCCTTGTTCTTTCAAATACGAATAAAAATCATCGTAAAATCTGTAAATATCTTGTGGTGAAATTATATGCGCAACCAAGATTCCGTTGGGTGTGTTGTATGTCGTATTGCAGACATTATATTTATCAGAAAATTTTGATGGATCTACTCCACTCCAATATCCCCATAATGTATGCCTATATAATGAATTCAAATTAGATTAAATGTTTAAGAGCAAAATCTTAGAATCAATACGAATACATGCTTACCATACACCAAAGTGTTTAATGTATGGAAACTCTTTCTTTACTTGATCAATCAATCCTTTTAATCCACTAGGAAACTTTTCTAAATTAGCTTCAAATCCTTGCATTCGTTTATTATCATCAATTTTTTGCCACCCGTCATCTAATATAACGTATCCAACTTGAATACCAATATTATGCAAAGAATTTAATGCTTGTAATAAATCTTCTGCTCTAACTTTATCATAGAAAGCATTCCATGTGCAATATCCCAATTTATCATAATAGACGACCTCATGATTACTAACACAAACCGTATTAAATACATCTTTAGATTCATCTTGATAAACTACCTTCCTAATTGCATCCAAACAATTCTTTACTACGTCATTTAATTCTTTTCCTTTACTTACAAATAATTTAATGTCCACATCCTTATCACATTTATTGGTATTAAATGCACATTTTAATACCAAATTCCCATCATCATCTGATTTTAACGCACTAGTATATTTTTCATTAGTGAAAGGAATTAACGAGACAAAATCTCCTGATGCTTGTTGTATAACTAAATATTGAACATCTCTTGAATTAATTTTCAATTTCTCGCTTCCTGATGTTGGAATCAACCACCAATTTGTCAATCTTTCTAATCCAAAGTATCTAACTAAATTCTTAGGTACTCCTAAATTTTTATAAACGGGGTATTCTCCGATTGAAGTTACGTTCATTATCGTACACCAATTATCAACATTTTTACTTATCTGAACGGGTTCTATGCGGTTAAAAATATCTTTATTGAAAATACTCTCAACTCCTTTTTCAGATTCGGGTATTTTAGGTGGTCCAATGAAAATTTTCCCGTTTTTATTTATACCCTCACTCAACCATTTCCACTCTCCGCCATCACTCCATGCTGAACTATGTACTCTAACAGTAAATTCATACCATCCCTCTTTAGCGTTGCTACTATCAACTTCTACTTCAAAAACACGATACTTTACTTCTTTACATCCAAATAAAATAACGTCATTTTTTTCTGTAAAATTTATACCCGACCATTTATTGTCGCTTAAATTATTCCAAAGTTGTACATTTAATATATGTGATTTTGAATATTCCTCCGTGGATAATATGTAAAATTTAAATGTTAATACTTCATTACGAAAAATATATGTTGTTGATAATAATGATGGCTGCACATACGCCTCCATTATTGAAAATTAAATCTGAAAGAAATTAAGAGAAAAGTTTTTTTTTGTGATCATCAATGTTGTAATCCAAACTTATCTCTTTTTGCATAAATTAAATTTAAAATAAATCATCTATTTTTAGAAACAATCAGCAATTATATATAATCTAATGAAATCTATACTGTATAACCAAATTTTGTAACAATTTTTTTTTTAGCTCTTTTTCTCCTTATACAAGGTACTAGCTAACTCACTTATGCAACGTTAAGAATTGGAGTGTGTATTCAATTTTGAAGATATGAATCACTTAAATTTTGAGCATTTTGAGTACTAATATCACATTCAAGATGCCATAATTTGAATTTATGTGATTATAATCTCTGGAAGTTTACCGGGATCGAATAACAAATCTAAATTTTAAATTTAAGAAAAGAATCCTATCGCAAGTGTTTGGTGAAATGGCTATAGTATTTTATCTAATTATAGCAATACATATTTTTTCAAGCGAGAGACAAGTCTAACTATCCTGTATATTCCCGTATCATTAAACTCAATCCTACTCTATGTGAATATCAGCCAATTTGCTATTAACAGTAATAGATTTAGTACGACAATTTTTTACGATGATGACTCTAATCGCTCTGATTATTATGACCCTAATGGCCCTAATGGCCCTGATTTTTCTGATTCCTCTGATGATGGCTCTGATGACGATTATGATGATGATTATTCTTCAAGGAAGAGGAAGAGAAAGTAGAGTTCAGTAAAGACTGGCAGCATCAAAATAATTGCAAGAGAATTGCTATCATAGGTGATTGAATCTTTGAGAAAGTTTTTTATGACCATTATCATAGTCAAGATGTGGCTTGGAATACTTGTGATGCAAATAAGAAAAGAAAAATCAATAAAAAGAATCAGCGATTTTTTAGCTCCAGGATATTCCTTTGAGCAATATCATTGTGTAAAGTGTCATGACTATGTATCGTTTCAAGTTGCTGCACAATTGTTGCTCGGCTTGAAGAAATGGAAAGTCAAAGATATTTTGGATTTGGAATATGTCGATAATATTTCTTCTTTTTCGAAAGAGCCCACTCCCAATAATTCACCTATTGCTCTTAAAGCTAATTTTATGACATATTGTGCAGATTGTGATCTAAAATTAATGGCAAAGTCGTTGAAGCATCACATGAGTTATCTTCCTTCTTTATAAGGCTTGCTGAGTATCCCGCGCTCTATAAACATGCTCGAATACATACTAGAATCCGTTAGATTCATTTTCTTCTTTTTTGAAGAAGCATCAGTAATTAATCAATATGATGAGCATCTCAATTAAATGAATTAATTGTAACGTCAACGCTTAAGCATACCTGTCATAAATATTATTTTGCAATGTAACAATACCAAATATTACAAAGGTGAACTTGTCAAGTTTCTAAATTTGAATGAGATATTATTAGAATTAATAATTTTACAGTTAATGGATATAATCTTAAATCCTTTACATTTACCTTGTTTATTGAATTGACCGAATTATTGACCGTTAGAGGTAATCTGTAAACATACCTCAAACAGTATACAACAGTCCATCCCAATTCCTGTATAAACAATAATATCTCACATGATTTCCAGAAAGATAAGTAATTCTATTACAGAGTATCTTTTCAAGCGTAATTAAGAAGGGCATTTTTTACCAAAAATCAGAATTGCCAGAAAATTCAGAGGATTCGTAAAATATATTGCAAACCCTTTCTCAAACGTATCATACTCTTGTAGTTTAAGTTTTTCCTTTGTTTGCTTTATGTCCCGAACAATAATGTTTTCCAGAAATGATTTTAGATTATCTTCAATACTGTTTTTAGTTTCCTCATCCTTGATATCCTCATACATCTGTGCAATAACATTTTCTTCTAGTGTCCCAAAAATGTTTGTCAAAATCATTAAAATTGGATTATGTGATGATGAATGAACTAGGACATTTGGTACCTGTCCTAGCTATGAATGCATAACATTGGGATCCCCGATATATCCTTATTCTTTTGAGCCTCGAGAGAAATAAAACATTAATATATATAAAATTGAGTTTTTGCGTCGCCATTTGCACTGAGAGTATTTGCACTAGTTGCAAATATAGGAAATCTTGTCTTCTGACTTGGAAAATAAATGGCATTCTCGCACGATCTGTAGATATTTGTTGAACTTTTATTAGTTGCGACGTGACTTAATAATTTATTTATTCTTATTATTAACAAATTGCAAAACAGAAGCAGTGAAATTCGCGTCCAGCAAGTTTAACGACCAAAAGGAAGAAAATAATCATTTGATCAGTACCATTTATAAAGTAACGTGACTTGATCATCAATGATCTTTTCTTATTAATATAAAAATCCGGTTTTGTAGTTTGTCCGATTAAACTCCAAGAAGCCAGCATCTCTATAATGAAAGAAAAAAAAACGTTAGAAAATGTTTCTTAAGGATAAATAAAAGAAACACCTCCCCCCCTTTTACCATGTCAGTTCCGCAGTTTATTCAATTTCAACTCTAACTGGTTTTTCTATAATAAAAGAACAAGAAACGTTAAAACATCTTTTAAAAATAATTAAAAATAACACCCCCCTTTACCTTGTCGTATAAGTCCAATTCTTCCAAGAGTATTTATTGTGTGAAGTTCATAATAATTACATCGATTCAAATGAAATGAACAAATTAAAATAAATATGATTATAAATATTTATATCTGGTGTCTCTACAAAAAGAATAAAGAACATTAGAAACGTTTCTTAATTAACACATACCAACCACCCATTTACCAGTCCGGTTCATGCATCCTTAAAAAAAATAATAATAAAAAATAAATTTCGGTTAAAAGACTGAAAGAAAATAATAAAAATAATGGGTTGAAATCTCAAAAAGAAAAATAAAACAAATTTTGATTTAAAAAAAATTGAAAGTAAATTAAATAAATTTCAGTTAAAAAACCAAAAAAAAAAAAATAGCAAAAATAAAAAAAAATCGGGTTGAAAAATTGAAAAAGAAAAAAGAAAAAATTTCAGTTAAAAAACTGAAAAAAAAAAAATTAAAAAAAAAATCAGGTTGAAACCCGAGAAAAAAAAATTAAAAAAATTTGATTTGAAAAACTGAAAAATTTATTTTATTTTATTTTTATTTTTAATATATATCGACAAAGAATGCTAACCCTTAGCAAAGGGCAGACTACATCAATATATAAGTCACTAGCTAACCCCTATTCCTAGAGGAATCGTTCCGCCAATTATTGTCAAAGACTCTAAGGCGTAACAAATCTAAATCGGGACCTACCAAAACTAAAAATAAACCTATCTAAATTAAAAAAAAAAGAAGAAAAAAAATTATAATATAAAAATAAATATTCATATTCTATAAAAAATGTTATATGAGAAAATGAGAAATATAAAATGGCCATCCATCGGCATGTAAATAATAAGTTAATAACACAAGACATAAATCATCCATCTCAAAATCAGAGGTTATATTCAAAATTTGGAGGTATAGGTGCATCCGTAATAGGACGCACAGGTGGTGAATCTTGTTTTTTCTTCGCTGTTTCTTGCGAGGTTTCTGGTATTTTTTATAATATAGTTTTTTCGATCGAGTGGTAATAACAAGAGCGCGCTCCGCTCCTATTCTTTCAAGATATCATTGTGAAAATATTTACGACGAAAAAATTCTATGATCACGTGTCGCACAACTGAATCATTTGATCTCGAAGTCGCTGAGCTTTATAGGAACCAACTGATGAAGAATTAAATAAATAGAATGTGAAAGGTCATTAGATGAAATTGGCTGAAAACAATGAAGGAAACGGAAGAAATACGTCATGGACATGGGTAAGAATTAAATCTTTAAGAAAAGAAATATGGTTTTTCATGATCGAATTAGTCTATGTCAAAGTGTTGTCACAAAAGTTTGGCCAGAGACCCCTGAAATATGTCAAATCACGTAACATGCACTTGCGAGTTATGCAACACGAAGGACTTAACCGGTTTCCGTTTTAAAACAAGTTCAAAATAAATCATATTTCATATATTTTACATTTTGTAGTCACAAATTAGCACTGAAATCATATATGGATTTTTTGCAGTTGACTCACGGATCACGAATTAAAACTATACCAGGACCCGAGCAATACATAAGAAAGAGTTTGCATAGAATGGACCAAAATATGGGCAGGTACTTCCTTTTTTTTGATAATTCCAGGCGGAATTACGTAATATACTAATATTGAAAAACGCGGCAAAATTTTCATTTTAACGTGTCGAAATACCGAAAACCGTAACAAAAATCTTTTATAAACGCACATAATTCACTCACAACCTCATTTTCACCTATTATTTAAAGTGGTTTTGCTCTTCAACGCTAAATTTAATAAGGTGAAATACAGAAAACGTGGCAAAAATAATTTTATACACATCCTTTACTTCACCGGTTCACCTCATTTCACTTATTATTTAAAGTGGCTTTGCTCTTCAACAGTAAATTTTAACATGGCGCAATACAGAAAAACGTGGCAAAAATACTCTTGTACAATAAAAATATGAAAAATATAATTTAAAGTACTTTGAAATACGTACGGTTCTACCGTAAGTTTTATTATAGAAGTTTGTTTTTGATACTTTGGTTTTATTATGAAGAGAAGATTTATCTTTTTATTATTTAAACTTTTTGGGTAAACAAGAGGTCATACTTTTAAAAGATCTTTTAAGTGAAAGTTATTGTAAAAAAAAAAAAATGCTTCAATTTATAAATATACAAATTGTTGATCTCTCCTTTAACAAAAGGAGAAATATGGCATGATGGTAGATGAAGAGGAGTGATGGGATACGAAAAGGAGTGATGAGAAGATAAAGAGGCGTGATGAGAGACGAAAATAAGTGATGGGAAGATCTTACAACATTCAACAAGGTGAGAATGTACATATTTCACTTCGACTATTGGGAGGGAACTTTAACATGGATTATAATAAGTATTGATACTTACTTCCATCTTAGACGGGTGAATAACATATAGCTATATCTATTATATTCTTTTTATTTTTTTATATGTTATTATAAATTTCATTAAAATAATAAAAGAAATGCGCATTACTAATATATATATATATATAAACTTTTTAGTTTTTGATCATCACAACAAAACATTAATACATTTATTAAAAAAAAAAAAAATAAACCATTGTGAAAAGTATGTGCTATTCCCCTAAGGAAATCTATATTAGTAGTTTTTTTGTATTTATTAAATCTAACGAAGAAATACGTAATTCCCTATTTCATATATTAAAAGATACATGTAAAAATATTTATAAAATATTTATATTTAATTTTATATATGTGTCCGTGAAACGTTTGTCGGTGAAATGATTGTCGGTGAAGTAATTGTTGGTGAGTTAAACGCGACCCGTGTCTGTCAGGATATATGTTGGATAATGTCATATCGGGAAAACTAACATGTCGGTATAATGTCCATTAGGGAAGGTGTCATGTCGGTAAAATGTTCATTCGGGAATATGTCTTGTCGGGCAATCATCGTCGGGCAAAGGGTATTTTGGGAAAAAAGGTTGTCGGGAAGTTGTCCGACATCGTTCACGTGAACGGTGACGGTTAAACATCAGTGATTCTTTTTGTAGTTTGTAGTAGTACAAGTGATTCTTTATTTTATTAAGGCAATAATCGACAAATGTAATTCGAAAACGGCGATAAAACAAATTAATTAAAAAAAAATCAATTAAATTACATTATTATCTATTTTTAAGTCAACAAATTAATTAAATTAATTAAATTACATTATTATCTACTTTAAGTCTAAAAATTAAAAATTTAATCTATCTATAATTTTTAGCTCTGTCAACTCCGTTAACTCCCTTAGTACCTTTAACTTCCTTAGTACCGTTAACTCCCTTAGTACCGTTAACTTCCTTAGTACCGTTAACTTCCTTTGTACCGTTAACTCCTTTAGTACCGTCAACTCCCTTAACACCATCAACACCGTTAACTCTCATAGCTCCCTCATAATCGTAATTTGGGTCATAATTGAAATAAGGTGAGTAATCGTAATTTTCGTCACCTTCATTGGAATCTTCAATGGAATTTACATTGGGCTCTCTAGTAGCATCTTTCATATTAACACCTTTGCAGAAACCCTATCAATATAAAAAATATGTTAGAGATATTTTTAAAATATACCAAACATATGATATTCATATTTATGTTAACTCTGTTTTAACTATATGTTGACAATATGCTGAACATATAATATAGAAATCTAATTTTTATATAATAACTATATGTTATATATATGGTAAAAATATTTTTTAAATGTGGCTATTATATGTCGAATATGTATCAAAGATATGATAAAAACATTATTTCGAAATGCCAATTTTATATGGTCATCATATGTCAAATATGTATCAATAATATAATAGATATTTAATTTTATAACGATTATACATATGAAAATATATTAAAAACAGAGTAATAATAACAAAATAGTAAAATAATCATGTGTCAATAATATAAAATAATGCAACAATTGTACTATAAAGATATTTTGATTTTTCTTGTCTTTTTCGTTAAATTAAATTTGTGCATATGATTGATTCAGGAAATTCGCGAATTCTGATAATGAATCAGAGGAGACCTACAAAGTGAAAGATGAAGTTACTGTAATTGACGACTTTTCACAAGAGTTCCGAAATAAAAAGTCCTACAAAAGAAAATAGAAAAATATTAATAAAAAGCTGTATTATAATAAAGTTTTGAAACTTTTTTTTTCGGAACTCACTTGAGAATCCAATGCCCACAACGAAGTTAGTTTCCATACAAAAAGGGGAAACCCGTTAAAAAAACTTTTTACTTTATAACATCTTTTTTCGAAACTCAAGTATCTGGGATTCTGTTTTTCCAAGTTGGATCCAATTTCCTTACAAAAAGGAAAAAAAAGCTATAAAAACTTTTTTTTATAGTTACAAATTCCTTTTCAAAAAACTCACTTGGGAAGTCACATCAGAGCTAATTCCCCTAAAAAAAAAAAGAAAATGGTAAAAAAGTCTTTTGTATGAAATTTTAAGTTCCTTTTTTTCGAAACTTACTACTAATTAGGATTCCAGTTTCCAAGCCGGAGCTGATTTCCCTTCAAAAATGGAAAAAAAGAAAACTTTTTTAAAGTTTCAAATTTCTGTTAGTGTGATGTCCGAAGTGAAAATATAAAACTTTCAAGTCGCAGAAGGATCTGGTAACGAAAATAATCATTCCCGCTCTATTCAAAGTGTTAGATACCAACACATATCTGGTTAGTGAAGGCGTGCTTCTTTGGAACTTACCTGTTCTGTGCTGCTGCATATCCAGACTTCTCTAAAATTAGAAAACCCGAGGCTGATTTCTCACTGAAATCATATGTGTCCAAGCCATTTAAAATAAAAGAAAAAAAGAAAAAAGAAATTAGTAATCATTTTTTAAAAGACGAAATATAAAATTTTTAAAAAAAATAATACACTCACCAAACTTCCACGTTCAGAGAACCAAAAAGCTGCCTAGAGAAGAAATGAAATGAAATATCAATAATTGTTTCAAGAGGTAGGCTAAAAATATTCCTCTTTACCAAATCCTTGTCCAAGAACTTTCAAAAAATACGGAAATTTACATTTGTCTAAAAAAAAAGTGAAGGAAAGAGAAAGTACGAGAGAGAGAGATAAGGGAAAAATGAAGGAGGGGAATTACGAAAGAAAAGGAAAGGTGAAAATGAGAGTTTAAACTTTTTTTTAAACTTTTTTTATACTTTAGACTTTTTTGTTTAAAAAAGTATTAAATCACGTGATACACGTGATAATTTAATATAAATATAGTCTCATTTTTCCGATAAAAAAGTTTCTTATAAAAATTTTTTTTCATTTCTTTTTTATAATGTAGAAACCATTGTGTAGTTTATATAATTATTACAGCAATTAAATAACATTTAGTCCTTATATAAACTAATTTTATCTATCTAAAAGAAACTGGGCTATCTATGACTATGCATACGTTACTATTTAATGCATCTTCTTGTTCTTCCCCTTTCCCTGTAATTGCTTTTCTTTTTCTCCTTCTCTTCAACAATAAAATGCTTTTTACCCTCTTTTATACTTACCTTTTCCACCTCTGATATCTTTTCCTAAGTATTATTTTTTAATAAAGTTCAAGTTCTTCTTGTGAAACTTCCTTTGCTGCTAAGTATACTGGAACCTTATTATACAAAACTAAAGCCTGCATCTGATAATACCCTAAATTCTTCACTTAATTTCTTGGTATTTTGCATGTAAATAGGGAAAATTAACGTGCAAATTCATCATCTCTTTTTTTTAAAAAAAAAATTGTTTCCATATAGCTCTGTGTGAATAATTGTAATCCCCTCTTCTCCTTTAAGTCTGTACTTCTCTCTTCACTATTTCTACTTTTAAGGGTTTCTTTTTATATAGGTTCTTACTCTTTGAATTTTAAATTGCTTTTTATTCTTATACCTAATTTTTTTAACATCCTTAACAGTTATCATAATATATTAAATCACCAATTCTTCATCTTCTGGATTATTTACTTTTTTAGTTAGTACAATTACTTGAATTCTTAGACGTTGTGTTATTTTCATGTAAAAATTTTTGTTGCACCTCTCGCAGCCAACGTCAAAGGTCAGAGGTATCCTTTCCAAATTTCTTCTATATTATCTGTAGGCTATTCTCAATATTCCTCTTGCTAATACTTCTACTATTTAATCTTTTATGCTTGTTGAAACACAAATATTTTTATATTTCTGTGTTTTTCACATACCACTAGAGTAAGAAGCTTAAAATTTTGGATTTCCGATGAATATTTGCTCTTTAAATGGATCTAGATGTGTAAAATTTTGATGGTAATTGGTATATAGATCATATCCCTTATACTTGGCTGTAACTTTTCCGGGATTGTCTGTACAAGTTGGAGTCATGCAAATTAATCTCAATTGATATTATGTGATTATAAACAATAATGAAAGTATTTTTTTTTTATTTTAAATTTGATGAATGTTTACTAATTGTTCATTTATTTTATTTTTTCTTTTTAGGGATTTTTTGAAGCATCTTAACTATACTTTTTATTAGTGATGCAAGAATTCTGGGTTTATTAGTATAAACAGACTTGAGGTTAAAGGTCATAAGCTATCCCACCAGCTGGCAAAGTGTATGAAATTTCTTTTAATTCACAAAGAAAGCCTTGCTAAAGTTATCTTTGGTGTAGGTCTAGTAATACATTGCCTTAATTGAGCGTGGCTACGAAGTTTATGATTCTTAAGTAAACTCCAATATATCCTATGTTTAATTACACAATTTATTTACGTTATTATACATTATTGCTATATCAATAAATTAACAGCTAAATAATGACTGAATGACTTGTTATATTATAATAATGCATTAATGTTATTATAAATGGCAAAGCCAATCAAAATTTTTACGTATTTTCAGATAGTATTTTCATTAATGGATTAATATTGTATTAACATTATTATTGCTTCTATATTGTCAAGTTGAAGTGAAAGGATAAAAAAGGATAAAATCTATAATTTAAATTTTTTTTAAAAAAAATAGTTGTATTATTTAAAATTTAAAAAAATTGTTCATATAGACAATATAAAGTAGTGATGCACTGAACTGGACAATCGAGACGAAAAAAATACCTTGATTGACCTGTTAGTCACATGATAGTCACATGCTAGAAGCGTTAAAGTCACAGTTTCAGTATATATCAACAACATATTCAAAATATATTATTCATATATTAACAACAATATTCAAAATATGTTATTAATATATCAACAGCATATTTGAAATATATTAACAATGTATTCAAATTATTCACTATATCATTAATTTAAGTACATATTCGAAAATATTGTAAATTTATTTTATTCATATTACAAAAATATTTACTACATTATATTAGTTTAAGTTTAAATTTCAACATATATTAAAAATATTATAACATTATTTTATTAATATTACAAACATATTACGTATATTAAAATATGTAGAACATATATATACCATCTGTTAGTAACATGTAGTGATTATGTATAACATATTTTGCGAAAACCAGAGGTTTCTGCAAAGACCATAATAGGGACCCGAATGATACTTTAGGTCTATATCATCAAAAGATAACGATGCAGAACAATTTGGATCTTCAGCCACACATTCCTGAAAGGCATCTGGATCTTGATCAGGATTACTTATATATAATTCTTCACCAAAATGTTTATAGGACCCAATAAGTGGAATTGCCCATGATGTAGGTAATTGAGGAACTGGATCACCATGAATTACAGTTCTTATTGCTCTTAGGTTATCATCAACATATTTAGCAAATTTTTCATCACCAACTCTTGGTTGACCAAATGTAGCAAGAAACAATTTTTCATTTTTAGCTAATTCTGGCGCTTTATGTATAAGATCTAATGCCGACAATGAAGCAAGTGCTATGATAAAAAAAAAAGACTGTTAAAAAGTTATAATTAAATATGTAATTTTTTTTTGATTTATTGAACTTACCACCACCTAAACTGTGACCCATAAATCCGATCCTGAAATCGGGCTTTTCTTGGATTAATTTTAAAAGATCATCGGTAACTTGGGGTTGAATTTGTTCCCAAGCATTAAGAAATCCATGGTGTACCGTACCAGGTGCAGGATCCCAAGTGTCGTGATAAATGACAAAGTCAGAAATGTAATTTCTAATACTTGTTGGTTCCGTTCCTCTATATGCTACGATGATTAATTGTTTTTCTGGATCCGTGGCTATGTAACCTACATATTTATTATTTTGTTAGTAAACGCAAAAAGTTAACGATGTGTGGCACAGTAATAATATAAAATACCCCTTGTGTTAAGCCGAGGGTTGCTAAAATCTTTAACCAATTGGGTACCCTTAGTTCTCTGACACATTTCTCCACAGTCCCAATTTTGAAGAGGAGCCTTAACTTAAGCAGTAGCAGCGTAATTAGCAAAGCTCTGTAAATTAGGAATTGATGTAATGGGACCAAGAGTATTAGGTACTGGAGCAGCTTCGATTAATGCTGATAAAAAGATTAAAGAAATTAAAGAAATTAACTTGAAGGATAATGTGTGTTGTAAAAGATGTGAAAAGGAGTTATGCGTGTATTTGGTAGGAGTTGCTTTGCAACTTGAAGAAATAATTTGCTGCTGCATTGCTTATTGCTTTACAGAGGAAATATTTTAGTATAATGTTTTAGTGTAAAAGAATGAAATGCTGTCAGATAAAAAAACACGTTCTTTTATACATTTTTTGGAGTTATGATCGCATCTTTATTGAAATTAAATTAATAGTAAATCATCACACTTTTTCTTTATATCGACAGATTTGATCAAATACCCTGTAAATAATTCTTAGTAATTGGACACTTTCAGTGATTGGACTCTTCATAGCGAGCTTATTGACTAAATCATTCTTTTTGAATTGTAATTAAAAATTTCCAAGACTTTTGATGATCAACTATTTGACCGTCGTTAATATTTGTCCCACATTTGACATGTTAGGATCATTTTGTTTATTATAAAGGGTTAAAATATTGAAGATCTTTTAATGTGGGACCCGATGACCGTTTCGGTATTTACGAATAAAAATACATTTCCGAAATTGCAATTAATGTGGAACAAAATAAAATATTGAATCCCGATCCCGATGGATAATTCCCGATAATCCCGACATATTAGCAGATGTAATTTTCGTCAATACTGATCCAAATCTAAAGGGGAAAAGAATGAAAAAAAAATTAGCAAAAAAAATACTAGATATGAAAAAAAAATTATTATTGAAAATGAGGATTGAAAAAAAGGTGCTTACTATAACACCGCAACATCAACCCGATTTCTGATTTAGATTTAAGTCTAAAAAAAAAAAGAATAATTTTAATAATGTACTTATTAATAGAAAAATATATAAAATTAAATGAAAAAATTATATAACAAAAATAGTATAGGTCTATTATAAAGGAAAAAAAATATAAAAAAATTGGTTTAAAAATAGAAAAGAAAATTAAAAGAAAAATTTTCAGTTTTAGAAAAATCAAACTGAAAAAGAAATTAAAAAAGAAAATCAGTTTAAAAAAAACCAAAATAAAAATTGAAAAAAAAAAATTCGGTCTAAAAATAAACCGAAAAAAATAAAAAAACAAAAGAGTTACTTTGCAGGATTGTTACTACGCAGTTAAGTGATAGCCAACGATTTAGTATCCAACACGTAACGTCGTAACGACATGTATCGAGATTGTACCCCAAACAAATCTAAAAAACGTGGATTTGGATTTATTGAAACATTACACCACCTTACACCTTATTTGCGATACGGCTATTAGATGGTGGAAAGATTTAAGGCTATATATATACCAAAGATTTATGAACCTATCAAACCACTTGCGACGCTTGATGCAGATCTTGATTATAATTCCTACAATAAAATCTTGTCATGGTCACGATATGGTTTCGATTTTAAAGTTTCTGCAAAGTATTGCGTATTATATTTTTCAAGAATATGATAATGTTTTGTTGGATCTTAATAAAGTTATACAATTGGAACCATCAGGTGTCTAACATATTATCAGTTACACAATGAAAGATATTGATAATTGATTATCTGATGATATATTAGTAAAAACTCAACTATTTCATTTAGAATATTTACTGAATAAAATATTTCAGTTCTAATATTAAAGATAGCAAATTACTACCTTTAATTAGATGTGAAATAAATATATAAAATTGTACTATGAAGCAAAGCAATTGTTATACATATATACTATATCATAATAGGATTTATATTACTTCATATATCAGTCTCATATATTTATCTATGATTAAAAGAATACGTGGATTTTTGAATGTTAATGATAGTAATGATTTTTCTAAATGAATTTAGTAAACATACATGTATGTATGAAAGTAGTAATTCATGAATTTCTTAAAGTGAATAATAATTAATATATATTAATTAATAACGGATTATTTTAGAACCACAAGTTTACTTTCAATTTCAAGAAAATGATACAGATAGGTAAGTAGGTAAGTTTATATTTTGAAAAATTTAATACGTAATAAAATCATTAAATTAATCAATCCAATCTTATCAGGAAAGATGATATATTTTAAAATGAAGAACTTATTTAGACTTTCCCATACTAGTAAATGGTAATAACTAATAAGTATGATTATGTTATTTGGAAAATACTAAGTATTATCTCTTTTTTTTTACTATTAAAAAATGTTATGATTCTAATATAAATATGTGGTAAAACTTGAAGATTTAGGTTGGATTAAGTATCAAGCTTTCAATAATTACACGTGCACATAATCCTCAACTAGTAAATGTTTACTTAGGTGATTTATTACCTGATCATCACAAAATTTGTCTAAATGTTCCAAAACTTTTAAAGATAAATACTTTTCAAGAAAAGAAATGGAAAATTTGCTTGAGCTGACGATATAATTAATCACTTATAACGATATTTTTTTTCAAAATTTATTATTACTATTTATTTTTATACATATAATACTTAAATTTATCATAACTATAACTTAATAAATGTACAGTCACCACTGGTTATAACGAACCTGTTTGTACCGAAAACTTGTTGTATTGAACCAAGTTTCACAGAACCGATTTTTTTATAATTAATTGCACTGGATAAAACGAAATCACATAATAAATTACTATATACCGCATCCGAACTTATTTTAGCCAGCCCAAGTATATCAGTTACATATTTAGTATACCGAACTATCACGTGACTTTAATTAGTAATATAAAAGAATGGACTACCGGAAAAATTATTTCTGCTAGTATCAGATAAAATTTTCATTTGAATAGCTGGTAAATACTTAAAAAATTGATGAACACATAAATTTTAAATAAACATAGTGTAATCTGTTATAGTAAGTCATGTAATCATCCGAACTATAAATATTACAGTATATGCTGCTATAATTTAATTGGATAAAATTCATATACCGAACAGTTCGGTATATAATATGAATATCATATATCGAATTCACCATATACCGAACCAAAACGCTTGGAACGGCAGGTTTGTTATATCTAGTGGCGACTGTAAATTTATATTTATTCTAATTAAAGATTATAATTTATTTAAACAAAAAATATATATATATTTATTTCAATTATTTTGCAGCAATGATCCTTCCTGATCAAAAACTTAAGAGAAAAAAATAAAGAAACCACGCTTACCCATGGCCCTGCATCTCCAATCCAAACCTAAATGTTAAAGGCGCGTCATTCTTTGACATTTTTTAGGGAAAAGAGCTTAATCGATATCACATGTTTTCATAAATCAATTTTAATTCCTGAGGGCGCAGCAAGGGTATTTGATTGAAATACGGTACCCGACTACTCCAGCGTAACATGAAAAAAATGTCACAAAATGGACGGTATTACGCAACTTGACTGAAATTAAGTGTGGCGCACATGTGACGGATAGTGCGTGACGAGTAGAATTTGTTACTAAAAAAATTTCTAAGTCCCTCAGATACTTATGAAAAATGGAAACAAAGAAGGGTGTGACGCCGGTAATGAAAAATATCATGTGATTTTTTCGTGACATTTTCAGGTTACTCGGGTATTTGCCAAATTTCATAAATCCTCCGCAATAATATAAAACCAATTAAAAAAAGTTTTTAGGTTTGATAAGAATCAAAAAGTATTTGAAAAAAAAAATTCCGGAATGGCTAAAAATAAAATATGATTAATAAGATAAATAAACCTTTATTTGGTTAATAGGCACAAATATCAATATCATTTCCATATTTACACAAATTATTGTACTCGAAATTCTTTTTCTTTCATTCTGTTATAAAATTCAATATTTTGTTACTATTTTTTCTCATAATAGAACTTAATTAAACAATTTTACCATAATCCTACAGAAAAATATAAAGTGATGTTACGTAAAATGATGTTTTGATACTTAAAGGGGCAAAAATATGAATCTTGACCCGTCACATGGATTAATCTTGACCCACTGCATGCACGTTGTCGATCACATATATTTTACAATACACCATGAATATCGATAACGTGATGCAGGTGGGTCAAGTTTCACGTACGTGACGGGTCAAGATTCATATATTTGCCTTAAAGGGAGGAAAATTTAAGTAATTACAGTCAACGCTCGTTATAGTGAAGCTTGTTATAGTAAATTTGGCTTATAACTTTTTTTATTCCCCAATTCACTTACTAATAAATCTTATTCGCTATAGTAAGCTTACTAATAAAATCTCAATATTAGATATAGTAAACTTTTTAAAAATTTTATATAGAACGTATATTATAAACAAGCCGACTACTCAAAGAACGAATAATTCATTATAGCTGATATTATCGATCATATAATCAGGTTTTCAGAGGTAAACTTTTGAATAAGTTTATAAATATTTACATGAAGTTTGTAAAAAATTAGGCATTACTTTTATATAATAATTAAAATTTCTAAGAATTTAACTTTTATTACCCCATAACAAAAGTTTAATTAATTTGTATATATATCATTTTAGAAAGTACTGTCGGTCAGTAACTTAACAATGAAAATGTAACATAATTATTGATTTTAAAAGTGAATCACAAGTTTATTATAAAGTTTAAAGGTAGTATCAGATTTAAGGTCAGACCTCGATATGCCAATATTTGATATACCGATATATTGAAAATTTGATATAACGATAAAATTTTACTTCAATTATATGATATTTTTCAAAGATTTTCATATAGGTCGCAAATAGCACTTTGCGCAGCTTTAAACATGCTTTCAGCGAGCTACTCTGCCATGGTTAATATTTGAATAAAGTACTAATAAAGTTATTAAGGAAATTCCTGATGGTAAGCTCTTCATTGATTAGTTTGCTTTAAAAACCCAGTAAATAGTATTTGTATAAAATTATACTGACCAAATGGGTTCATTGGCTCAAAATTAGCTCAAATTTATGCAAAAAATAATCCAAATTTAAGCCAATCTAGAGCCAATTATACATGGATGAGCCCATTTGGTACAAATTCATACAAAAACTATTTACTGGG